CAACAGACAACAACAAAACCAAAAGAAACCACGCGCAGAGCACAATGCGCAAGCATGACTTCCAAAACAAGACAGACGATTTCGCGACACACGTCCCAGACAGAGACTCAAGACTCCTGATTTAGAAATCACCCCAGACCAGTAAAACTATCTGTGACGTCACGCACCCACAGTCGGAGGGGCACATGTGCAGACAGGAACCATACTCGACAAAAACTAACACAAAAGCAGCTGCCATCAGAATATTATAATCATCACACGCCACAAAGCCAAAGCATACACATAATTTAGTCGACATCGTTTACTTATCAATTCCTACAACTACAATAAAAGTAAACTACAAATGGACCCCCCTTCCCCCATCTCTCTCTCTCTCTCTCCCCCTCTCACTCCCTGTTTCTGATATTCTAAAGCATTTCCCCTAGCTCTCCGAATACGGTAGTCAAAAGCTCGTACACGTGCATAACACTTGGTCTCCCAGAGCAGCAAAACGCGACACCACGAGCAAGAATGCGGAGATTATGTTCACACTCAACATACTAATTTCCATCAAGCGCAAGAACCTTGCACACGGCAAACGAACCCTTAACAAATCCAAACTAGATCCAGAAACGATAAAATGCAGGCATTCACCAAACACTTCCTCAAAAAAAGGATCACATTTCAAAAAGCTTCAAAGTAAACTCCAGGGAAGACCTACAAAAGCACGGCACGTGAAATTCCAGCAAGGCGATCACAACCTCACACCATCTACTGGCAGCTCAAACGAGAAGCCCGGCAGTGTGAGTTCGCGTATTATGGAGAACACAAAAAAAAGGAAGGAAACCCGGAAGAGCATAAATCGCTGAAAACAGTAGATACCGCGAGAGGTAGTCAGTGGGTTGATGTCGTCAGCCACCACCAGTGCCACTTCTGTAGTGTGTCTCTGTGTAAACGCGCGTGCGTGTGCGTGTGTTTGTGTATGTGTTTGAGAGCGCGGACGGAATAGGACAGCACGGCATTGAACTGATGGCTGCCGAGTGCCGAGGAGTATCGATTGATCCCTCTTCGATGTGCGCGCTGCGCCACTCCGGCTGGAGCGGTTCTGACGAACGGCTGGAACGAAGGAGCAGGAACCTCCCCCGCATCATAATGGGGAAACCAACCACACGTGCAGGAACACAGCCGCCCGCGGCCCGAAGGGATGAGACTGCGGTTTTGTTTTGTTTTTTGTTACAGCTGTACTGAACGGATTATTTTCTTCTTTTTTTTTCACTATTAAACACGCTTCATTTAACTATGTCAACCCGTCACATTTCTCTAGTGGGAGCATTGCATAAATATGCAGCATTTTTTTTTTCATTTAAGTTTTAAAAAGAGTGTTATCGCACTTGCAACACAGATGGGTCATAAAAGTACAGAAGATTAAAGGTGCAACTGGAGAGTAACATAAAAAAGAAAGAAAAGAGATAAGGACGATAGATGTTTGATAAGAAAGGAGCAAACCCAACCAGAGCATTCGCCAACCCCGCAATGTACTGCAAATACGGCATCAGATTACACAAAGAATAAATTTTTAATAATAAGGTATGGTTTTATCTATCTAAAAATGTGGGTCAGAATATAAATGTGTATGAAACCAGGCACACAAATAATCGTGAACGTTTCACGTCCCCATCGTCCCGTTAGTGCTTGGTCCAATCAGGGCTAAGTGGGATACAGCATCCCAGCAGGAAGGCGGAGACACTCGACAAAACCAACTTTACGTAGCAGGAAATCAAATTCACATCTTTTGCGTGCAAGGCGAAGTGCCAAACCAATATTCTACGGACCAAAACAAAACCTATGAGAATGTGGAATCACCCTTTCAAATAGCACGTATAAATGAGTATGGAAAAATGAAAATACATCCAGCAAATGCCTTCAAACAAGATACCACACCAGCAACGTGAAATGACATTTGTATCTTCTAAAAGTTGTAAAAACAACCCAATCCAATTTGGCCCTTTGGGGCACTGCTATTTTCTAACCCCCCCCCCCCAAATACCTTTGGAGCACAGTTCTTTTTAACTCCTCCAAGTTGCCAGACCCAGTGGAAAGGGTCCCCATTCCAGTACAAACAAATCAAGAATACAATGTATACGTTTTTAAAAAAAGGAAATGTTTTTAAAAAGTCAACACCCAACCTCCAATTTCAACGACCATCTCATGCAGTACTGAAGAATTCAAGTGGCTGGAATACCGTAAAAACAACCGAGAACTGAGACTGCCAAATTGACGATTCAAACCAAGGTCATTTGCACAGCACAGCAGTACAACACAAAACCCATTGTATCCAACAGACCGGCATGGTAAAAGAGAAGACCAACAGCTGGACGACAAAAAGTATACGCACATTACAAACAAACAAATATCAAAGACAGCGGTAATACCTGGTCCATAATGTCGTACTGGTACATAACTTTTGAGTGTAGATCACTGGCAAGTCTACACCTAACAAATACTAATGGGTTTCAACCAAAACGTTTGGAGAATCATTATATGATGTACTACAGAAACAGATGCGCATGGTTTAAGTCTATGTCTAATGTGTTATCCTATTCAAAGCTCGTTGACTTGTAATATTTCTTCCCATCTTCCTCCCGGGGAGAAAATGGGGCGGGGGGGGATCTTTTTTCCCCTTCCCCTATTCGTTACGGTCACTGCTCTTCCAAGGGCAAACTGCACCATTACTATCTCTCTCTCTCTCTCTCTCTCTCTCTCTCTCTCTCTCTCTCTCTCTCAGCTAGCCAGTCACCAAGCCGCATGTTGAGTTGAAGGTCAAAAGAAAAAATCCAACGGTACGATAGAGGATTGGCAACCCCAATAAAACACAAGGGGAAAGGGGGGGGGGGGGGTAGAGAGACACAGACAGGCGACAGATGCATCACATACGTGCATCCTTAATTGTATTCTCCTTTTGTGCGGTGCAAAGGCATGAGGATCCCGAGGACATTAAGGTTACACGGGTATTCTTTTCAAGAGATAATTTAAGCTATGCAGTGGTCTGGAAAGAGGAGGGATCGTGACGATGGTAAATTGAGACCCGCACAAGCATTAGGACAGATTCAATTCAACTCCCAAAACATGGGTCCAGGACGTTACAAAAACAATACGGCTCTCTTTAGATCGAGAATCACCCAAGCATTAAAGTTAATTGGTTATTTTTGGTTTTGTTTGTGTTGTAAGAACTGTTTTTGATTTTTGTTCCCTCTTCACTCTAGATTTTGGTTGTTATTTTTTTTAGGGGTCATTTTTTTCTGGGTGGGAGGGGGGCGAAATTTTGGGAAGTGGCTGCCAAAGTGTTGAACGTTAAAGCTTATACGACTTTATAATAACCCCAACCGTACCTGTTCCACATAATTTACAAACGAAATCTACCAAGAGACGCATATATAGCGTGTCAGCCTGTTGGACACACAAACGCCACAATTTAATGCACTTGAAACATTGCCAAGAGAATAACTATACCGATGGAGTGAGTGAACTTCACACATAAGTCATTCAAGGGTTCAGACACGAGGTCCCAATCTAAAAACAAAGAGTAGTCAAGCATCAACAGGACTCAGATCGAACTGAATCAAATAGTTTACGCCAAAAGCTTGATAAGACAGGCTTACTCAAAACACAAAAAACTGCTTTTGTTTTAGTACATGTTTTACGGCACTTGCAACACAATAAGGTCATTATAGGTGCCAAAGACTAGAGTGTGCTGCAAAAGAGTAACAAACACAAAAAGGAGGGGAGATTAGGATGACAGATGTTTGGTAGGAAAGAAGGATCACACCACACCAGAGCACCCGCCAAACACCCACAACTAAGATTGTGACAGATCCACTAACGAGATACATCAGACATGACTAAAGAAGGTAAATATACAATCAAGGAAAACAACGTAAGAGACGGTGAAACCCAAAAGGAAAAGGGACAGGAAAAAAATGAATGGAATAGCAGGTCACGAGAGTTTATGTGAATACGCTTTAACTCCCAACCCACTGTAAGAGAAGCAAGACTGTTATTGTTACCCTAAATAAAACGTCAGATTAAACTGTGGTTTTTTGTTGTTGTTGTTGCTTTTTTTTTGGGGGGAGGGGTTGTTTCAGAAAGAGTTTTATGGCACTTGCAGCACAATTAAGCATATACGTGCAGTGAATTTGGTGTTAGAAGAGAGTAACATACACAAAAATGAGAGATAAGAACGATGGATATTTGATATTAAAGAAGGAGCGAATCACATAGAGCACCCGCCAACCACCCACCATTCAAACTGTTTAACCTTTAACTTTACCTCTCTGGTGAATCCGTGATCCACATCCGAGGAGTCCTTGACCTTCCTGCGATCTGCCAAAAAGGTGATAGGCAGGGTCCGAGCCAGCAGCCCCAGCACCTTGAACACATACTGACGAAGCCGGAGATAGGTATGCGTGAGGAATTTCATGATCTCCTTCACTGAAATTGGCTCCCAATTAAGTACTGTCAAAGTTCACTACTCTCTCGGGTTCTTTCTTAACACTTGTAGTCGCGTACGTAAGTCTGCAAACACGTACAACAACGATATATGGGTTCTCAATTTTCGCGCAGTGGTCAGTTCAATCACTCACGAAAGACACAGCACTCGATTAGGCCAATCGACTCATTCGATACAAAACTAAAAGAAAGAGAAGGAAAAACAAACACAACGCGTTTTACTAAATGAGAGCTCACGTGCTTGTTATGTACATGTGCGCCTAGAACATTGCAAAACCATCTCGCCTTTCTGCTAGGCGTGTGACGACAGTGCGGTTTGTAATTGTGGATTTAATCAAAATAAATTGGGACACCCAGAAGCTTTTCACCTGAACCCGTTCCTAAAAACTGCACATGGATTCGTCTACTTTTTGATGTTGTACAGTTTGACAAAGCAGAGACCGATTCATTCTTTAGAAAATAAAAACCAATACCGTACAACCTGCAAAGTTCGAACAAACGATAAAAACTAAGCCCTATAAATTATTACGGGTAACAATTTTGTTTTAATGCTGGGTGCAAGCGTTATTGGAAACAGGTGGCTTTACAGTTTTATTCATTTTTCAAACCAACAGGAATTATATCTATCTCATGTCATAGATTGTTTGTTTTTTTTTTTTTTTTGTTTTTTCTTTCTTTTCTTTCCCGAAATATCATGTATACAAGTACAACGCCTTATCACTAAAACATGGGTGATTCCATTCCAATTGAAAGGATAAAAAGGGAGACTACAATCTAAAATCTCACTTTCAAATTGTTCGCGAAGGTCAGTTTTAATCCAGTATGAGCAGATCTTACACACGAGAAAACGATAACAGCTAGACCTGTTCAATTCTCTCAACACGCTGTTTCAGGCTGTCTGTCACAATAAAAAAGGGATGGCATTAATTGCATTCACACGAATGCCCACACGGAATTACTTGGCCGCTGACAGACGGGCACATCTGGCGTGTACAGACAACAAGAACAGGGAAATCACCAGGTCATTCAAAGCACTATCCGGCAAATTGTCCACGTCAACACGCGGTTTGCCACTCACTGATCCCCAGGAGCTATTAAAAACATGGTCGATGCTCGTCTTGCATCGACCTAGATAATTCATTTTCACTGGGCTCGGGCGGGCTTTGCCACAGTCATAATCGCTGTCACGTTGGCAGGGCCACGCAGCACCCCCTCCCCCTACCCAGAGTTGCACATGAATTTTGCAAGCAATGAAGGAGAAGAGGACCGTCATCTCTCTCTATTAAAAAATTTACATTGGCATGGTCTTTGGGGGGAACAACAGCCATGGTGACAACGCGAGACTAGCGGGAACAATAACACTGCGCGTTGTGACATATACAGCAAAAACATTCCACAAAAACCATAACAATCGAACAATAAACGACAGAAAGCCTCACGCTTATAGCGATGTCAGGCTTGAAAAGCCTTTCCCTCAAGAACAACAACACTTTGTACATGCATATCGTGCCATATTATGAGGATTGCTATCACAACCTATGTAAATATTCCAAACA